TTGATCCACATTTCGAGCATATTATTTTTTGACTATGGCACAACTTTTTAATATGTCCATACCTCCAACATTTTGAGCACTGGGTTACAGGAAATATATATGGTTCTATCTTAACTTTAACATCGTATACATGTATATATGGTGGTAACGATGGACCCTTGAATCCTTTTTTTTTTTTTTTTTTTTTTTTTTTTTTATTGTCGGGAAATGCATTTACGCATGCCACCTGATAAACCCCCCCTCCCCCCCCAGGTGGTTATGTGGGGCTCACCGGCTAGAAGAGCCGGTACTACCCACTAAAACCCGACATTCCCCTCCCCTCCGCCTTAATGGGACGCCGCAGGATCGCTCGCGCATAACTACTACGGCGCCCCGGCGGCAGGTCTGCCGATGGCTGACCACCATACCGATGAGGCTGCTCCACAGTCAACTCTGCTACACCAGAGAGGTACCCGGAGCAGCCCCATCAAATCCAACCTCCGCCCACCGAAGTAGGCCACCTCCAATCGGCTGCAGAGGACAGGGAGAGCGGCAACGACACACCGACACTCCTCTTCCTCTGCAGCCCCACCGCGTCCACCATCTAACGGTGGTGGCCCCGCTAGGCCGCGGGAGATAGGGACGAGCGGCGCATCGCCATACCGACACTCCTCTTCCCCGCGGCCCCCCTACCGTCGGCCCACCTCCGGATCAAGATGGCTGCCGACAACCACGCCAGACGCAGGACCACCGAAATGGCCCCGCTCCAGCCGCCGCACCGACGGGCTAGCCCCGGCAGCACGGCCCGCGCAGCGCCTCCTACCGCAAAACGGCCGGAGACACCGCGCTACCTCCAAGGAGGAGACGGCGCCCTCCTGACACCGCTCCCCCTGCCCCTCCTGGCTGTTGGTCCGCGCCGGATTGCTCCGGTACCACAAGCTCCTGTCTGGGGGAACAGTCGCGAGTGGCATTCCCCTATCCGCCACCCGGGGGACGCGCCCGGTAGCAGTCAGCCTCTGCCCCGGGGGACCCTTGAATCCTAGTCTAACTGCTTCACTATTTGACCATCCCAAACCCTCCTCGTTTCTCCGCATGAGCCTTTTAATTGATATTATTTCACTTTGCGACATTATATTTTCCTTAATTTCCTCGACTGATAACTCGATATCCACATTTTTGATAACACCATATGATATCCCGACTTCCAACGTTTTATATATTTTCTATTACATTTCAATAAAAGATGTACACATTAACAGTTTTTCCGCACTTTCTTCATCACTAAATTTTATTAATGCTTTATATGGATTTAAATATTTCACGTTTGTAATATTATGTATATCTTCTTTTTTTTAATAATTTGGCCATATGATATTGTTTTGGTATTTTATTTTTGGAATATATACATACTTCAATTAATGTTTCCTCTAAGCTTTTCACTTCGTATATCTTTTCTTATTATTTTTTTCCTATTTCCCGTAACCATAGTCCACTCCTCAGTATTTTCCTCTATGTCTCTCACACGTTTGTTTGGTCTCACAATATAGTAGTATCAATGTATTCCGAATTCATTAATTGATCTTGCATATAAATTTCACTTTGTTCCGTTTGTAAACATGATTCGATTGTATACGATTCATTTGTATTTTCCTCATTTAAAATGTTACTATTATTCATAGCAAATCGTCATATGACCGTGCAGGTGTTTACCCGCCGTAGCAGGTAGCACCGCGAGCGCGTCCTTCCAAGAATTTTATTATCTTACTACGTAAACAACAGCAAAATACGCGTCCGTACTAGTACACTTACGAATAACCTCACACACATACACCACTGAATAATATAGTTCATACATGACAAAAACAAATCAGCTACTTTTCATCCCGGAAAATTAAAGAGTTTCCGTGGGATAATCAAAAAGTATAGTAACTTATACAGCTTAGTACACAAAAACTTCTGATTGGATTTTGATGAAACTTTACAATAATTACGTTCATACATCAGAATAACAAATAGGTTACTTTTTATCCCGGAAAAATGTTCTGTTCCCGTTGGATAGATGTTTTTGTTTATTTGTAACGTTTTATGTACACAACATAGAGCCCAAAACAATAGTTATTAAAAAAAATCTGTTTGTCTGTTTGCCTGTATGTCTGTTTGTCTGTTTTTGCGTAAGCGTTTCACGCGAATAGTAATGTACCGATTTCAACGAAATTTGGTGAAGTGATAACTTATTACTCGAGTCAACATTTAGGATACCTTTTGTATGTATGTATGTATGTATGTATGTATGTATGTATTTATGTATGTATGTATTCAGCCCTTTTTAACGTCCCACTGCTGGGCACGGGCCTCCCTTCAGTACGAGGGGGATCAGGCCATAGTCCACCACGCTGGCCAAGTGCAGGTTGGCGGACTTCACATGTCTTTTGAAAACTTGCTAGGTTCTCCAGACATGCGGGTTTCCTCACGATGTTTTACTTCACCGTTAAGACAAGTGGTAATTGTATTAGAAATGAAAATATCAGAAGTGTGAGAAACGGGATTTGAACTTGCTTAACTCGGTTTCCCAAGCAAGCGCGTTACCACTGGGATACAACTGCCTAGATACCTTTTACTTCAAGAAAATCTTTCTTTCCCATGGGAAAATACAGTAACTGGTTTTATCGAGTCCTCCCTAGAAACCTTCCGCTGGCTAAGCCTTAAGACATACATACATTAAAACAATATACAAAAAAATTGTAGGTATTGAAAAGTCCTGAATTGTATATGTCTATCTCCTAAGTTACACTCGCAATATTTATTCTTATCTATACGTATAATAAAACTAACTTAGTCAAATCGATGTGCGCGTTTCATGCAAAAAGTACTTAACCGATTTTAACTAAATTTTGTATAGTGATAAAACTTAGTACTCGGTTCAACATTTAGGATATCTTTTATGACAGGCAAATTATTCATTTCCACGGGACAACACAATAACTGGTTCTATCTCTATATGTCTATATCCTAAGGTATACTCGCTATAACTATTTTCATTATTATATATTACTGTTTTATTATACCTCATTTATTCTATCTATACATATAATATAACTGTAGAGGTTAGAAAAAAAATATGCTAAAAACCGAGTCAGTTCTTCTTACATCCCGAGAGAAGAGAAATAGAACAAATCCAGTTTTTTTTACTTTTTTTGTTTCTCTGTCTGTTTGTACGGGCTAATCTCCGAAACATTGAACCGATTTAAATGAAATTTTGCATGGTAGTACCTTATACCCTTTTTTTTTACGCATTCAACTACGACGCCCCGACGGCAGGTCTGCCGAAGCAGACCACAACAACCGTGGGGTTGCTCCACGGTCCACTTTGCTACCAGAAGTACCAGGAGCAACCCGCATGGTACACCGCCCTCCGAAGAAGGCCGCCTCCCACCGCCCACCGAAGCGGGCCACCTCCCTGTGCGTTTCTTGGCTTCGCGAGTACACTACTGAGCCCCCCCCACCACGACAAGGTGAACGCACGTTGGGGGGGGGGGTACCTTATATCCTCGGTCAACATCTAAGATATCGTTTCATTCCAGAAAATTAAAGAGTTTCCGTGGGATATTTAAAAATCTATAGTAACTTATACAGCTTAGTACACAACAACTTATGCACCTAATTTAGTAAAATTTGGCATGCTGATACTCTGACCTTATATTGCCGGTCAAACAACAGGTTACTTTTCATCGCGGAAAAATGAACGGTTCCCTTAGGATAGATCTGTTTGTGCTTTTCTAGATGTGAACCCGAGCGAAGCGAGGGTGAGCCGCTAGTATATATATATATATAAATAATAAATACAAGGCAGAAAAATCTTTCATCTCGAAACCTCTATGTTTTCGTCGTTCCTCATTTATTTTGTCCACCTAAAAATCTCTTTCTTACCAGGACAAAATATAAACGACTAAAGAGGGATTTTTTGCAGCACAGATTCGTTAAAGTTTATGACGACCAACAGAAAAAATAAGTTTATTTTCGTAGTATATTTCCAAGTTAGTGCGGAAAAAACCAGTTAATTTTGTAGCCGCCAAACTAACAATGCTTGTAACCGAAATTAGCTCATACTTATTTCTAAAACTACTCACTAAAGTACTCAGACTTAGGAATAATATAGACGGAGTGTTATAGAACGAAACATGAAGAAACAACAAAAGAACAAACAAAATGGTCAATGTGTACAGCAAATAAAAATAGCTAACGAATTTTATTAAAGTAAAGATAATCTTTGTTTCAAGGAAAATGAAGTAGGTATGATTAAAATACAGAGGAATATATATTCCTATATTAATATTATTAGGCTAAGTATATTAATAATATTATTAGGCTTATTATTGTTATTTATCATTTTTCTTTTCTAAAATTGTAAGTTATAGAAATTTCCCTTGTTCTGTGAAAAAAGTAAATAAACTCTATGGTAACATTGAACATAGTAGCATAAATAACAAAACTACGCTAATATTTCTGACTTTGAATACTTTTTTAACGGTTTTGTCTCTATAATTCTTTAGCCAGAGTCAATGTATTCAAATATTTTTTCAGAATTTCTCATCAACTTTTTTAAATGTTTGTTGTACACAATGTTTACGACTTTAGAAGTGTATAACTCAGCGATATTTGAATTAAAAAAAGAAAGTCCACATATTTTCATGTGTATGTGCTTTCAAATCTGGAATTCATCTTCATTTCGAATCACAAATACACAGAACTAGCGTTACTTAGAGTAGGTACGTTATAACAGTTAATATTTAATACAAATCTTTGAATTTCTCGGCTTTTCTGTACTATAATATGCATGTATTATACATTTAAACCTTCCTCTTGAATCACTCTATCTATCAAAAAAATCCGCATTAAAATCCGTTGCGTAGTTTTATAGATCTAAGCTTACATAGTGAGATACAGACAGCAGAAAGCGACTTTTTATACTATGTTGTGATAAGTATTACAATTTCATTTATATTTTTACTTAAAGGGCAATAATGCTAAAGCATACAGAAGGACGTTACATCAATAGCCTGCAAGAAGAACAAGATATGAAGAAACAAAAATTCACGCGCTTGGACGTTTTTTTGATTGGTGAGTGCTGCCGCTGCCTGGATTAGTTTATTTTGATATTTTAACTATGTATATCTATTTATAAAAAAACGTGTGTCGTGAGAACAGTGAAAGTCGTTAACAGACTATATTTTAATTTTTAAAGTATACATAGACAATTATACAATTCCTCTTTAAATAATATTAGCATAGTACCATAAATATACTTAATTAAAAAGGGTAATCTTTCTTGCTTTCCCTCGCAACAAGTTGTACACTGAGACTTGGTTATGTTGAAATTGTTTTCATATGACAAACCATCCACCATATTTCTCATTTTATTCATGTCCTGACTATTGATATGCGCCAGCCTTCTGTGCCATAATTTGCCACTTAACACCGGTGTAGCCACCATACAACTAGATGTATGCAATCTCAGCTTATATACACCATCCGATAAATCAGCTGTGGCTGCCAAAACATTGCTTTTGTTTCGTATATAACAGTGTTTTTCATCAAAACTGACATTATTTCCATGTTTGATGAGCTCACTTACAGATAATAAGTTTGTTGTCAAACTAGGCACGCATAACACATCTTTCACAGTAATGTCGAATTTTAAGTCAGAAACAATGTCGACGTTTCCGGAACAAACAACTGGCACTTTTGATTCGTTTGCTACCACAATTTCAGGTAACCAAGGTGTGGAGTTCATGTTTCTAATCCAAGATTCGTTCGCCGTCATGTGTGCGCTTGCACCTGAATCCACGTACCACTCTGTTTTGTTAAACTTTCCATTCAGGAAAACGACATTAAATACACATTTGCTATTATTTTTCTTTAATAATGGGCACTGATTTCGATAGTGAGCATTTTCTTTACATTTATAGCATGTTATTGCTTTCGTAGATGAATCTGTCACTGTTGTCTCTGTCTTTTTGTTTGACGATGAGAGACCGCCATATTTCTTTGACTTAGTGTTGCCAGAGTAAAATTTATTTCGCGCGGCAAATGCAGCTTCGTTACCCGCGCTATTATTGTCACTGGTCATTTCCATGTCAAGTAATTTCGACTTTATGACATCTGCAGTTATCGGAATACCCGAATGTTCGATTGCCATGATCATGGGAGTATAACGATCGGACAAACCTGCTAATAATAATGAGCCAACCCATTCGTCTGTTATTGTAAAGCCCGTGCCATTTAACCGCTGTGCTGTCTCGACTATTTGAGTCACATATGTCGCCATAGAATCACAGTTTTCTAGTCGTATTGATATCAAATGTCGCAGCAAGGTTATTTTTCTTGAGAAACCGGAATCATCAAACATGGTCTTCAACGTAGTCCATAATTCTTTTGAGCTCTTGGCGTTCTTTATATGCACGTACAATGACGAGTCTATAGTCAATATTAGCTTTGCCTTCGTTTTTGCATCGTCAACTGGCTTAAGTTCAAAATCTGGCGTCGGTTTGATGTACTTGTCCATCCCTTCGAGCACCAATAAATTTTCAGCCGCGAAGCTCCACTCATCATAGTTCTGTCTTCCTTTTAATTTAGGAACGCTAGCAATATAGTTCGTAGTCATATTTCCGCGATACAACTTTCACTATCTATTTTAAACAAAATAAACTGATAATTTCGGGATAAGCCCATAACCTATAAAGAAACGTGTGTCGTGAGAACAGTGAAAGTCGTTAACAGACTATATTTTAATTTTTAAAGTATACATAGACAATTATACAATTCCTCTTTAAATAATATTAGCATAGTACCATAAATATACTTAATACAATATAGTGTATACATTGCACATGAGATGGCGTTACTAGTAGCAAAATACCAATAAGAAATACATTAATTATTATTTTGATACATCATTATAACACTATTAAATATGTTATTATCAAAATCTAAATGTATATACTAACCCAAGTTCGCAATAAAGTGTTTGATTTGGATTTGGATTTGATTTGAATTTATTATTTAATATTTAGACTACTTGGGCTATACGACGATAGAGTAACATAAAAAAAACTGCCATATATTTTATAATAAATTCACTTAGTACTTTGTATATTAATACAACTTATTATAAAAAGCGACTCTGTATAAGTGTTCCATTAAACTTATTCTTCTTCTTTTCTTTTCAAATTAAATACTCGTACGCATACATCTGGTCACAGTAGTTAAGAACGTTAACTACATCAATCTGACTTCATGTCAAAACAAAAATCGCGGTTCGGCGTGGGTTACTAAATGCACGACGTGTAGTGACGTGAGGGTTAGCCATAAGTACGAGCACATTATGTAACATATGTTTACGTCCGAAACAAGTGCGGGTTGGTAGACTTCACGTCATGTCTTCTGAAAGCATGTTAGGTAATAGGTTCTCCCAGACTTACAGGTTTCCTTTGGATGTTTTCTTTTAACATAAGGTGAATGGTGGTTATGTTAAAAATTATATTTTCAGGCCCTTTTTTAACGTCTCACAACTGGGCACGGGCCTCCCTTCAATATGAAGGGTCAGGTCATAGTCCACCACGCTGGCCAAGTGCGAATTGGCGGACTTCACACGTCTTTCGAAAACTTGCTAGATTTTCTATGAAAGCAGGTTTCCTCACGATGTTTTTCTTCACCGTAAGGCAAGTGGTAATCATGTTAGAAATGATTTGCACATGAAAATATCAGAGGTGCGAGACTCGGGATTCGAACCCGCTTCCCTCTGTTTCCCAAGCGAGCGCGCTACCACTGCCTTGTTGAAAATTATACGCGCATGAAAATATTGGAGTTGCGATACTCGGAGTTTGAACCCGTTTATCTTGGTTTTCCAAGCGAGCGCTTTACTATTAAACTACTACTAGCCACGACTTATTATAAGATACATTAATATACTCTCAATTTCATTTAATTCACAAAAGCTCCAATGAGGGTTTCGGTTCGCCTCACGTAAGGATTCATACAATATTTATAACACTCGGACAGTGATCAATTATTAATCATCATTCGACTTCTTCTATAAAAACTTATTAACAAAAAAATAAAAACCGACTTCAAACAAAAGCACTAAAAAGTAAAAAATAACTGATTGGTAGTTTTCATTTACTATACATACCTAATCAAATATTTTCGAAGTCGGTGTGCTTTGCTTTGTATGGGCCGGCACCGATTTCGAAAATATTTGATTAGGTATGTATTTAATAGGTAAGCTTTAATTACTTAGCCAAAGCCAAACTTAGTAAATCTGCCGCGTTTGAGTAACTCCAAGAAATTCCTCTTGGGCTCCTCTATTATTAGAAAGCCTTATTGCCGTATCTCGGTTTTACCCCCATACCCGGTCTTAGACTAATCTCCCCTACCGTTATAATTTTTTTGTATTTTTTTTAAATATAAAATTAATTTTCTCAATGTTTAAACCGATATTAATTTTATTGAAAATCGTGATAGTAAAACAAAACATGTATGCCAATTGCCAACTACGAAACTATACATAAAACAGCAGTTATGTTACCATACTATAGATACGTAAAAAATGTTCATTGATCAGCTTCACTAAAGCTTTACAAATAAATACTTGTGTAATTATATTTAATACCTTACTAACTTAATAGAAATATTATGCGAGTGCATTTTAAAGCCTAAAGTTTTAAATATAAATGGGAAAAATCTACTTGGCGTTCTAAGGGCATTGTAGTGTGTATGTGTGTGGGCCTCCCCGATACCTATATATTGTACGACCTGTTGTAATTAAGAGAGTATTAAACGAACCTTGGAGCCAAACAGATCCTGGCAGGGTCGCCATGTAATGCGGGAACTTAATGAGACAACTGTTTGGCTCCAAGGTTCGTTTAATACTCTCTTAATTATAACAGGTCGTACCATATATAGGTATCGGGGAGGCTTATACACATACACACTACAGCATTGGTTTTGTCAATAACATAATATTATAGCTTAAAGTCTTTACATACAAAACTTACACATTAGTTTTTGGCAACATTCGAAAAGGTTAGCATTATCTAATCGGCAAAAAATATATACTTATCAAATGGCCGAGTCATAAGTTAACTTCTTTAAATCCATAACATAATCGGGGGGCACGGAGTGCCCCCGCCAAGTCGAGCATAAAAGGGCACCTTTTTCCACCTTTTTTCCACCCCCCCATAACTTCGTTATAGATAAAGCTAGAAGCCTGAATTTTGAGTGACTAAGAGAACATCATATAACTAGGTATTTTTCCAAATTACATTCAATTTGAACCTGTAGTTTATGAACTGTTGCAGATCAAAATTCGTCAATATCGTCACTCACTCACTCACCGATCATCAAAATTCTAAGGTATTTCTGGCAGACATAGGAGCTTCAAATTTTGAACACAATTAGTGTTTACCCTATAACCCAAGGCAAAACTCAAACATCACGCAATTTCAATCCTGTTTTCGAGATATACAAACTGCATAAGTAACTTTGTAATCCTATACAAATAGATATGCGATATATGGGATTACAAAGTTATTTTTGCAGTTCATACATATCATTTTTTGTCACTTAAACTACATATATGTATATAAGATCTTAAATATAAAAAAATATATACAAGTAATCGAACACTTGGGTGTTTCCGTAACGAGAGTCGCTCTGTGTCTTATCACCTTGGGGCAATACCGTATTGAGAGCCGCTCTCAGTTGCTAGAAGATCTCAAATATAATAAAAATATATGAGTAACCGAAGACTCGGGTGTTTCCGTAGCGAGAATCGCCGTGCCTTATCACCTCGGGGCAATACCGTAGCGAGAGCCACTCTCAGTTGCTACAAGATCACAAATATAAAAAATATATATGAGTAATCGAAGATTCGGGCGTTTTCGTAACGATAATCGCTGTGTGCCTTATCACCTCGGGACAAAACCGTAGCGAGAGCTGCTCTCAGTTGTGTGTCTAATCTCAATGTCTAAAAAAAAAGCGCAAACACCAGCAAAAGCAGTCATGTGTACCCTCTCGGGAGTCCCTGATGTCCAGGAGCTACACAAACCGGTCTCCACGTTCCAATCGTTCTACGATAGAATAGAGGCCATTCCATCAGCATTAATCTCACAACTAATCAATGGCTAGTTTAGGTAGGATCAAACCCAGATCAATTACACTTATCGACCAAATCATACATAGAAGTAAGAAAATTCGTTGTAAAATACAAACCAGCACGAACACTTGCAAAAAATATCGTCATCGAGAATATTTTGTATAGGATAAATATAACTATTAAATAAATTATCTAAGACCAAATTTAGCCATTTAGCACTAAGTATGTTATATTATGTATACGTGGTCTATCTTTTGTATACCTATCTATATTAGGTTTGTTGCATAAAAATCTTATATGAGGATATGTAATTCAAGATTTGGATGCATTACTCAGTAGTTCAATCAAAACGCTATTATTATTCCTACGCATTTTTTTTTAAATATCTCCTTGTAGATTATTACGTAAAATTATATTACATAATTGATGTCCATAATAAATATTTTTGTGATAGTACAGAGCCCTCGGAGCGTTAGTTCGACTTCTACTTGACTAATACATACAATATGTATTTATCAATATTTAGTTTTGTCATGTTAAAAAAACACAGGCATAACTCGTATATTATTTTATTAACTTAAATATCCAACTTAAAATATATCTTTCTCAGGGTTACGTTTGCCATCACTAAGTATTAAATTTATTAGTCAATTACTCAACTAACGACGTCAAGGAACGCCAGAGGGTTTAGGTATTTTTTAAAATAATAGGTTACAATAATATAGCACATAATATAAATATTTTAACATGAATAAACTTCATAGCTCGCCTTAATTGGTGTCGTTAATATCAAATATAAATTTCGTTTAAAAGTCATAAAATATTTTAATTAAATTTACACTATTTTTTCCTTCCTTATTTAAATTAAATACTATTTTTTCATTTCCCGATATCTTACTTTTTTTTTCACCTCATTCGTATATTCTAATAAAATTTATAATTAATAGTAAATTAATTAATTATACAATAGTTGCACTGTAAAAGGAGGGTAGGTTAGGTTAGTGTTTTACCTGTAGGTATGTATGCTTGTATGTCCGATTCTATGTTCCCTCGTAATTACTAACCTAATTTCGATTCGTCTATTAAAAAATTAAATGTGGCACTCGGAGACTGCCGCGGTAAAACTATTGCATAGAATTTTTTATCAACTTATGCAATTATAATTATTTATTTATTTTATTAATGCAGTATTTTTTTTCTTGACTTTCTTCATTAATAAATGCACTTTGTTTATTCATATTTAAAACACTTTGTACACAAATTATACGAGTACAGATATTCACTGTTGTACATAGATGATATAATACCTATACACCTATTGTCGGGTTTAGTTCCGATTCCTGCCAAGAGATGGCGCTACTAGTAGGTTGCCTCGTTTCTGAATCACGCTGGCAAGATGATTTCTTTAAAATACATGTCTGTTGTAAATTGGAGTGGGGGATGTGAGATTTTTTCGTTACGGAATTTCTGGATTCGGTCCCCACGCTCAAGGCCCGCGATAGAAGCTAATAGCTATGCAATAGCTTAATAAAGTTTATATTTGCAAGTTGCAACTATGTATATAAGAAAAGTATTTTTTAAATGCGCAAATAATATTTTAAGCTTTTTTAGTAGCTGTATACATTTTTATGCATATACAAATTGGTACATAAAAATAAATGTAATGTGAAGCGTGTATAGTTTATATCTACTAATATTCGATTACTGCTATTTATAATGAATTGATTAAAATATATACCTAATTAAGAAATAACTTGACGATTACTTAATTTTGAAACGAGCTCGTACTTTTACAAAGTATGATGTTGATATGAAGTAGAAAACCTTGTCAACGTCTCATTGCTCGTAACTGTACCTGCCTATTAGAACATGGAATACAGAGGTCATGAAATATTAATCTATTCGAAAATTACTTTTAAAATGAAATGGAATACAACTTTCGGGATTTAACTACGATGCTGCAGATAGTCACATAAATCTACACGTCTTATTAAACTTATGTAAGTTGAATATCAGTATCGGGGTAGGTATTTAGGGTCAACAGTGAAATTAAAATATTCGTTAAGTTAACTATACATATTTATACTTAATGCATAAGATAGTAGTATTAAAGTCCAGGAATCCGAAATTTCGCAATACAATAGACTTAGATTTTTTATCATCCAGACTTGTCAAAGTTTGTTATATCTCTGCCTCTGAAAAAAGCCCACAGGGGCAAGGAGTGGGCTTTTAAAAAGTCCTTAGCTGACACCCAAGAAATAGCACATGAAAAGAGAAAAAGAAGAAATATATATATATATATATATATATATATATATATATATATATATATATATATTGACATTTATACACTTCCGTAACAACGTTTTCCATTATAAAAATTCGTAATGCCATGCCAGTCCTTTGTTTCCCTCTCATGGCACGCCTACAGAAGTTTCACTTCAATAATAGAAATTCTCTCGCTGAATGGCAATGCCGATTCTTCGGACGAAAAATGAGTCAGCTCTCTCTCTTGTAACCAGTGATAAGTAGATTATTATGTTATATGTAATTCGCTACATTATGTAACATTTGCCTGCAGTGCTAACGGTGGTAACGGCGCTGTGGCTGGGCGGCTGGCTACGTGTCCTCTCTGATGCTGCCACTTTGTCACAAAAAGGAAATGTATACTTTGGAGACAGTATATCAGGTAATTGCTATTTTTGGGTTTCGAGCTTTTTACAGAGGTTGGGCTCACGTGTGATAAGCAGTCTGCCACTTTAATCTGTTAAAATTTTTTATTTCATCACTATTCTCTTGCTAGCAGTAACCCTGGGCTAATTGAAGGTTGCCTGAAAATTTCATCAAAATCGACATACATATACATACAAAAATTATAATTTATTATTATAATTATTTTTTTTTATTATAATTCATTAAAAATTACATATAACATACAAATATATATATGTACATATATATACAATAAATATATATAAAATATCTTATATATATATATATATATATATATATATATATATATACATAAGACTCGACTTAAAGTTTATGATGATTTTTGCCTCTTAGGCTTGTGCAAATCGGCAGATTATTAAATTGGACACTTTTCAGGATGTGACTAGCCTACCACACCTTAATCTGACGGTTTCAAGTATTTTTACCTTATCAAAACATTTTTTAAATATTTTAATCGGCTTCCCTAGACGCGCCCCTTTATATAGAAGACTTATATTGTGGTGAAAGTACTCAATAGAGTGCAAGGTAACCTCTTTTATGTTAATCTGCCGCGCTCGAGTAACTACAGAAAATCCCCTCTTGGGCTCCCCTACTGTTAGGATTGGAATTTTGAGCTCCGCTTTTAACAGGAGCTTTGTTGGGACATTTTCTGAGATATTTTAGGGTGAAAGCGAAGAAAAAATATATATAGATATTGATTACAAGCTTTTGATACATACTACAAATCTAATTCCTTTTTATCTTTTTACACATATTATATATTTTTTATTTACGTCCTTGGTAGATGGGGATGAGTTCAACTATATCGTGGTGGGCGCGGGCGCGGCGGGTAGCGTGGTGGCAGCTCGGCTAACTATGGCTGGTTTTCATGTACTGCTGGTGGAAGCTGGGGGAGATCCTAACTTTTTTACTAAGGTATATATCTAAATAAGACTTAATATGTAAGATGTATGTTATATTTTCAGACATGTTTGTAACTTTACTAAAACGTTTTTTTTTGTCTAACAGATACCAGGAGCAACATTCGCATTTTCCGGCTCTTCAATGGATTGGAACTACGAAACGCAGCCTAATAACAAATCGTGTTTGGGTTCTAAAGGTCAACGTTGCCGTTTAAGCCGCGGCCGATGTCTCGGCGGTTCCACCAGCATTAATTACATGATGTACACCCGCGGCAATAGGCATGATTATGAATTTAACGTCACTGGCTGGACCTGGGAAGATATGGAGCCTTATTTTTTGCGATTTGAAGGTCTAAGAGACCTATATAGTCTCCCACAGTCATCAGAATCTTATCATAACACATCAGGAATCATGTCGGTTGGATACTTTGAAGACTCTGGTAACCCATGGCGTCATAGATTAATAGACGGATTGAAATCATTAAATATCCCATATAATCCAGATGTAAATGCCAAATCTCAGATTGGAGTATCAAGAATTTTTGGTTATATTTTGAATGGTGAAAGAGTGAGTACAGCTACAACTTATTTAGACCGAAAAGCTGTCAAAAGGAAACTTAAAATAGCAAAAAATAGTCGATGCACTGGGGTTATTATTGATGGCGATAATATCGCTCGAGGTGTGACAATTTCACGAGGGTTTAATGATACGTTGCGTGTGTTTGCAAAACATGAGGTTGTATTAAGTGCTGGCACCTTCAACTCTGCACAATTGCTGATGCTGTCTGGTGTTGGTCCTAAAGAACATTTAGAGGAATTTAGTATACCAGTAAAAGCAGATTTACCAGTAGGTGACGGAATGTCCGATCATGTATTGCCAGTCATCAATATAAAAGTAGACCACGATGCCAAATCGATATTCCACCCACTTACCATTGTATCTAAAAGCCTTGATGCGTTACAATGGCTAATTACACGAAGTGGTCCTCTCGCGTCTAATGGTTTGACGGATGTGACAGCATTTTTTAATACAAATTGCTACAATTACACCTTACGTAGCTTAATAAATGATAGACCTGAATGTGAAATACCTACCACACAACTCATTTATGCTTACATAGAAAAGGGTATTGTGAATCCTGCACGAACGATCTATGAAGCATCAACTTCTTATAATAATGATATATTGCACCAGATTTTATCTGAGAACGAGGAAAGCGCTTATATTACTGTATCACCGGTTGTTTTGCGGCCGGAGTCTCGTGGCTGGGTCCGTTTGGCCAGTTTGGATCCATTAGCACATCCATTGATCAAACCCAATTACTTAGATGATAAGCGAGATTTGCAGGAGATAATTCGCTCGATAAAGATTTTAGAACAAGTTGTAGAAACACCAATATATAAAAAATATAACGCGTCGATACAAAAACTGCATCTACCAGGTTGTCCTGATATTGATGCTGATGAGTACTGGGAATGTTTCGTAAGACATACGACTCATTCAGTCCAGCATGCGGTGGGGACTGTTGCGTTGGGTTCAGTATTGGATGAAAGATTGCGAGTTAGAGGTATTAATAGACTTCGGGTGGCCGATGCGTCAGTTTTGCCTCTGGTGCCGAGAGGAAACACTGCCGCTGCCGTTATAGCAATTGGTGAACGGATATCAGATTTCTTGATACAAGATCGAGAACTAGAATTTAAAATATAAAAAACGATAACGATAGACAAATGGCTTAAATCAGTATACTTGATACCCCGAAAGAATTGGATAAGTTAGTTTACAGTCTTGTATGTATGTATGTATGTATAAGACTGTGAACTCAATGACTCAATGACTGTCCAATGCAGATATTGGATATTGGAAGGAAACCAAACTACTCGTATGAACAAGCAAACAAAGAAAGCACAGTTAAAATAAAGATGTTGTTGACAAGCAGATGTTAGTAATAGCCAGATTATTGAAAAGTAATTGCGGACAATCTTATTTTAAGGTGTAGAAATTAAGTGAATGATGAATGTTTAGAAATGAAGTTTATGATTAAAATTATGATGAATGTATAGAAAGTTTTTGTTTTTAATTTTATTAAGTTGAAGATTTACTAAATCATTGTTATTATTTTGAAAGATCATTGGAAAATCTAAAAACTCGTGGTATCATCAATAAATAAATTATTATTTACTTGTGAAGTTTAATTTCACTTATTACAATTACAGCAGGTTATTATTAGTTGAGATGGTAATATACCATTATATTTTAGATCATTATTTCTAAATTCATCCTTTTTATCCTAAAATTGTAACTCTTAGTCTATTAGCTAGCCCTTTAGCTAGGTAGATAGATAGCTTTAGGTAGATTAATCAAATCGGACTGACAAAGTTATCGCCTAAAACCAGTACCAGACTTTTAACAGATAATGCAACTTACATACACTATATTGAACAATTTAAGTAGCAACAGCAGTAAAATATAATCATTTTCGTTTCGGAAATTTTCATTTAGCGAGATTCAAGCTCATTTTTGTTTATTATTAACCGACTTCCAAAAAGTAGGAGGTTATCAATTCGTCGGAATCTGTTTTTTATGTATGTTCACCGATTACTCGAAGACGCCTGAACCGATTTGGATTTTTTTTTTGTTTCAAAGGGTATACTTCCCAGGTGGTCTCATATAAATTTTATCGAAATCGGTAGAGCGGTTTTAAAAAAAATCAACAATAAATATTTTTTTTAAATAAATTGCTTAGTCAAATATGTTATTAAAAAACTTTCTTCTTATAAATTAACTTCTAAATATAAAATAAATTAAACTGACTTCGAAAATATCTGATTAGGTATCTATTCTAAATGAAAACCTCCGTTTAGTTATTTTTTACATTTTAGTGCCTTGAAGTCGGTTTTTATTTTTTGTTAAAAAGTTTTTATTATTTTTAAAGTGTGAGTTGATAATATAAAGCTGGGTTTCTAAACAATATTCTAGTAACTTTACACCTCTGTTATTGCTCCCATAAATTTTTTATTTTTCACGTGTATTTTGTGTGATTATTTTTTATTTGGGTAAATAATTAGTTAAATCGATCATTTGCGAAAATAACGATATTAGTCAGAAAAACTCATTTTTCAGAAAACTACTTAGTAAGTTTTGGATTTGTATATTTTTGAAACAGTTGAATTTTTTGACTTACTTTCAAAAAACTTTTTAACAAAAGAATAAAAACCGACTTCAAACAAAAGCACTAAAAAGTAAGAAATAACTGATTGGTAGTTTTCATTTACTATACATACCTAATCAAATATTTTCCAAGTCGGTGTGCTTTGGCTAAGTAATTAAAGCCTACCTATTAAATCCAAATCGGTGCCGGCCCATACAAAGCAAAGCACACCGAGTTCGAAAATATTTGATTAGGTATGTATAGTAAATGAAAACTACCAATCAGTTATTTTTTACTTTTTAGTGCTTTTGTTTGAAGTCGGTTTTTATTTTTTTGTTAAAAAGTTTTTATTTTTCCCTTTTTAGTGTAGACAGTAGTAGCAAAGTAACAATTGTAAAGTGTTAGGCTTGTCAAACCAAAGAAAATAAGCCTAAACTCAAAGTATCTACTATTAGTCGTTGAAGAGTTCCACCTATCCACCTTCTGGCCTTACCATCAGATCAGGTCAACAATACCGAACCACTGTATTATCAACGGAAATAGAAACACTTGCAAAGTTTCAAGTCAATATGACAATTAGAAGTAGGTTAAATTCATCATTAGCTATTTTTCCACCCTTTGGGGTGGAATTTTTTTTGAAATTTAAATGGGACCAATCTGGAAGTATACCCTTTCAAACAAAACAAAAATGGTCCAAATCGTTTAATAAATGACGAAGTTCTGAGGTAACAAACATAAAAAAAAACAGTCGAATTGAGAACCTCCTCCTTTTTGAAGTCGGTTGAAAATAGAATAGTTGGGCAACATTTTAAATTTTCTTATGATGGGTGCAGTGAGGGTGTTGATTAATCGGCGGTTCGATGGATTATGTGTACGAGAATAGTCTATGTTGTAAATAGGAAAATAATGCTCAACACAAGCACAGTTTAATCGAGTTTATTCACTTTATAACACTCACTTAATACAAACAGTACATCTATACCATAATAAAACAGTAGAGTTCCAATGTCTGTACATAGCAAAAAAATGCTAAAAACCGAGTCAGGGGAATGTAAGAAGATAAATAGAACAAATCCAGTTTTTTTTTCAATTTTTTTTGTTTCTCTGTCTGTTTGTATGTTTGTCTGTTTGTACGGGCTAATCTCCGGATCTATAGGACTGATTTGAATGAAATTTTGCATGGTGGCACCTTGTATCCTTGGGCAACATCTTAGATACTTTTTATTTCGGAAAAATAAATAGTTCCCGTGATATAGTTAAAAACTATAATAACTTCTACAGCTTAGTACACAAAAACTACTGATTGGTTTTTAATAAAACTTTACAATAATGTAGTTCATACATGACACTAACAAATCAGCTACTTTTCATCCCGAAAAATTAAAGGGTTCTCGTGGGACAGTCAAAAAACGATAGTAACTTATATAGCTTAGTACACAAAAACTACTGATCGGATTTTGATGAAACTTTACAATAATATAGGTCATATATCAGAATAACAAATAGGTTATTTTTTATCCCAGGAAAATGTACGGTTCCCGTGGGATAGATGTTTTCGTTTATGTGTAACGTACTCGTATTACGTACACAACATATACCCCAAAATAATAGTTATTAAAAAAATTGTCTGTTTGTCAAAACGAAAATTTGTCTGTTTGTCTGCTTAACAAAAACAGACAAACAGTCTGTTTGTCTGTTTTTGTATGCACGTTTCACGCGAAAAGTAATGAACCGATTTCAACGAAATTTGGTGAAGTGATAACTTATTACTCGAGTCCACGTTTAGAATACCTTTACTTTAAGAAAATCTTTCTTTCTCATGGGAAGACACAATAACTGGTTTTATCGAGTCCTCCCTAGATACCTTCCGCTGGCTAAACCTTAAGACAAACATACCTACATCAAAACAATATACTAAAAAATTGTAGGTCTTGAAAAGTCCTACAGGAAAGTTCTGAATAGTATATGTATATCTCCTAAACAATATCTATCCTTATCTATACCTATAATAAAACGAACTTTGTCAAATCAAGACAGAGTCAAGTACTGAACCGATTTTAACAATATTTTGTATAGTGATAACTTAGTACTCGGGTCAACATTTAGGATACCCTTTACGACTGGTAAATTATTTATTCCCACGGGAAAACACAATAACTGGTTCTATCGAATTGTCCTTAGAAATTTATATGGCTATCGCTGGCTCAACCTTAAAAGATAGATCAAAACATTGTACAAGAAAATTGTAAGTCTTAAAAAGGTCGATAGGAAAGTTCTCAATAGTACATGTCTATCTCCTAAGGTATATGCGCTATAACTATTTTCATTATTATATATTACTCTTTTATTATACGAGTACGCTATTTATTCTATCTATAAATATAATAAAACTGTAGAGGTCGAATGTCTGTACATAGCAAAAAAATGGTAAAAATCGAGTCAGGGGGATGTAAGAAGACAAATAGAAGAAATCCAGATTTTTTTCAATTTTTTTGTTTGAAACTATTGGACCGATTTAAATGAAATTTTGCATGTGATAGTTAACAAACTATAGTAATTTATACAGCTTAGTACATAACAACTTATGCACCTAATTTAGTAAAATTTAGCATGCTAATACCTTATATTGTTGTTTGCAACCGGTTACTTTTCATCCCGGATAATGAACGGTTCCTGTGGGAACTAATAGATCTTTATTAGTGTTTTTCTAGAAGCGAACCTGAGCGAAACGAGGGTGAGCCGCTAGTTTTAAATAAAACTATCTTTTCGGATTATTTCGCAGATTTATTTTGATTTTTTGTTCCCGATGTTTCGAATCCTTTACAGCAATCATGGTTACGGCAGAGACTAAGGTTCTAGACGTCTCAAACTCATACTTGTTACAGACAGTGCCTATCCATTATTTTACAAAAATGATTTTAAAGATTCAAAAATGGCAATAAAGTACCTTACAATATTTGTTGATTTTTATTTCTAAACATTTTAATTTTTTGTAATAAATATTATGATTAAATATAGCAATATTATTTATTTAATTTTGCTGTTATTATTATAAATATTACAATTTTTTAAAACTTTATTAATTACTAATATTATTTAGTGATACTAATATTATATTATGTACAACCATAAAGAATATTAAAAAAATATATTAATTATTTATCTAAGCAATATTATTGTTTTATATATAATTTAAAAGAAGATAAAATATTAATTTAGATTACTATTCTTTGAAGTTAAAATATTGAACAACACTATTGCAAACAGTACACCAGAAAGTCCATAATATAATAGGAGAATATTATAAAGAGTACAGCAGATACAAATTAATATATTCGTAGATTCAAAAATTTAGCAGGAAAATAGGACGTAATGAAAAGAGCTTAAGGTATATTTTCGAATGCATAGAATTGTAAGCACGCGGAACGTAAGTTGCAAGCGTATGGCGTAGGTGCGTGAGACCAATTGGCGCCGGCGCGGGCGAGAGCGCAGGCGCGCGTGCGGCGTACCAGATCTGGAGTTTATAACTTTTGCATAGCAACTACGTCACTAGTAT